GTAATATGAAAAAGTTAACTATGTATATATACATTCCAGTTTGTGTGATATTTACTTTATTTTCTATAATTACTGTATGTGAATTTATTAAAAAATTGGAAATTGACATGAACAGAGCAGTACCAACTTTTTCCGGAGAAACGTACTGAAACAACTATATGATGTTTTTAACTGTTAGGCCTAAATCTTTAACCATATTGTTGAGTAGTTGTTCCATTCCTTGTATGTGATTATACACAAGTACTTGCCAGTTTTGTGTGTACGTGTGTTGTATTTACTTTGCATCATACATACTGACTTGGTAGACATCCTTGCCCAATGTCTATTTTTATTCTTAATGACTCCACATAGCTTTGGCACTTTCATCACTATTTTGTTGCGTTGCATCATCTTGACGCGCATGTGTTCTTGCTGGTTTAGCACATCCAAAAATAAACCTTTTTCCAACAACACTAAAAAACTGTAGCTCAGGACATATTCCAAAAGCTGGTGTATCGTATGCACTGCAGGTATAGTTATGGTGATTTTAATCTCCAGTATATATTTTTAGACGTTATTAGTGTGACTGCTGAAATATCTCATGTGCATTTCTCATAAATTTTACAACTTGCTCTACTGCTTAACGTGGCATGACTATATATAGAATAACGAATAAAATATCACTTTTACCGCTCACAAAATTGGTGTTCAATTTTAAGTATGTTCATCTGCCCTAGTGACAATATCTAGTAGGCTTGACTACCAACAAACCTAGAAAGGAGAACTAACTATTAATATGTTCTTTGTAGTGGTCAAACAGTCAAGGTCATTTGAAGCCCATCTACTTCAACCTTTTTATAGAAGGAAATTAAGTTCGAAGGAACGAAGACTAGCATTATCTGAACATGCATTTGTTTAGAGATAATATAATTATATTATCGTTATTTAATTATGATGTAAGATTATATTTTAATAATGCTCTGTTTTTATTTTTTCAGGAAACTTGCCAGCACGTGTACCTAGTCATGGAGGTAGGTTTTTGTTCCATTAATGCAAAATAAATCATTAAAATAAACAACACTGTTTGTTTGTACATTATGAAACTCTTACTTGGCGTTTGCGTAACGTGAGATTCTTAACTAGACTAGTGTTAACACATCATCAGATTATTTCTCAGTGTGTATATATTACCAAACTACTATATCATTAGATTCTTACTTAATATTTATACATCGTCAGACTGTTACTTAAGGTTATACACCATTAAATTCTTGTAGTCAGGCTGTTACTTAGTGTAGATAGGTTGAGTATGTTATAATAAACCAATTTTGGAGCCTCACCACGTCGTTACAGTCCATGCTGCTACGTCCACTCATGCTTTATTTGACGATCTTGCAAATTTACAACAACCTATTTCCATGGCAACGTACTCTCACTTAAGACTGTCATGTTTAAAGCTCGAAGCCTGTTTTTAGGCTTTCGGACAGTGGACCTGAGATGTCGCGGTTCGCACGCCATTACCGCCAAATAAACATAATTGGGCCCCATACATTTTGGCCATGGGTTCGTTGTAAGAGTGATGGTCAAATCCCACTCTTCGATTAGAGTAGCCCAAGAGTTAGCAGTGAATAGGGTTTACTAGCGGTTTCCACTCTATAGTCTTATCACTTCAAATTTACGGACGTCGAGCGCAGATAGCCCTCGAGTAGCTTTGCGTGAGATTCAACAACCAAACAAACATGCACATATCACACCCCTCCTCCCTAAAGGCTTTCCATGAGCCATGTACTGTACAAAGACGACATTTTTCTAGCACCTGTTTCAAGTCTGTTCGCACAGAAATCTATGGGTGCTGCGACCGGCGACTTGAATAGTACGTCGCAGAAGAAACCTGTGTACATGTGATTCGTGACGTTTTTCCAGACGGAGATTCATCGTAACTAATAGAGACCCGCAAAACATTTGCGGTCAAATTAGTATCTTTATTGCAACAGTACTTCATTAAATGCAATATTTCTAGAATAATTAATACAAACGAATTGTAATCGTAGGCACCGAAACATGCAAGTCCAGTTGTATGTAGGTCGTTCTTTGTAAAACCTTAACTACTGTTAGGACTTAGTTCGATAAAGATATAAATTAACACTGTAATATATGCACGTTTTCTACTTTAGTTTAGTTAGGACTAAACTTTACTGTACTTAATGCTATCGATAAATATCATTATAACGTTATTCTTCAACCTAACGTCAGACCATCTTGAAAACTTTAAGCTTTTAATGTTGTTGTACAAAATGGTGAGTAAAGTATATTTACATCCGCCTTTTGTTGTCATTCCTTCATTCACAGAGCAGTTGTAGTAACTTGTTCACTCAGCTTTACAGCTCTCTGCCGCAGGCATGCTGGTTCTCAGTTTTTCTTGGGTAAAATTCTTACTGCGCATGCTTGTAATGCGTACTTACAAGCAGAATTATGGTATGATTATACTGCTTACTGCTGCTATCGCCACCGATCTTTGTGTTCATGGGTTCTCACCTATTACGAGACATCTCTCTTTGCTTACTGCGGCTGGTAAACTGGTATCTTTCTGTATGGTCCTGCTGGTCATAGTTAATCATATTCCTTTGTTTTCCAATGTCATTAAGTACAAGGGCTATCTCTGTCGTGGAAATATATAAATTTTGCATATGAACACGTTTCTATGATCTCAGACTATGATTATTTTGCGCTGGATACGACTGGTACATATCCTTCCCAAAAGCGTTTAATTTTCGGTGGCGTTGGAATACATACGTAATGCCAAACAGTCACTTTACATCGGCTGTGGCGTGACTTGTTAACTTGCATATTCAAAATCGTTTTAATATAACGTAGTCAATCATCTGTTCAAACATCGTTATATTCTTGCTTAGTGATATACATCATCAATCACGTAGTTATTGTTAATTCATTAAAAGTTCAAAATTAATTTACACAAATAAACGGCCAGTTATATCAACTAGTATGGTAATTAAGTAAACACTAAGTGAGACAAAAACTTGTTCTGGTCGTTGATGTTAAAGGTATATAGTTTTTAATTGTGATATATAATTAGTCTTATATAAATATACCTTGATGATATGCATTTATATATATATATGCCGAGCGCGTCCCTGTTCATAGTTTCGAACCGTAGATCTGTATTCGTCAAACGAACAACAACAAAAAAAAAGCCATCGCGCTCAGCATCTTGAGGCCGTGGGTGCGTTTTAAGAGTGACGGTGAAATTCCACTATTTGATGTGACAAGAGTTGGCCGTAGGTGATGTCGACTAGAGATGCCTTCTATCGGGTACATCACTTCAAAATTATATATCCCTCGAGTAGTTTTGCGCAAATTAAACAAACATATATAATACCAGGTAATGCTTTGTTACTGATTTCGTTTCAGTGCTCACGGTCGGTTTCAGTGTCTGCGGGTGAGGGTTTCGGATCCCCGTCACCGAACTTACTCGCCCCTTCAGCCGTGGGGGCGTTATAAAGTAACAGCCAATCCCACTATTCGTTGGTAAAAGATTAACCCAAGAGTTGGCGGTGGGTGGTGTTGACTAGCTTCCTTCACTCTAGTTTATCACTGCTAAATTCGGGACGACTAGCACAAATAGCCCTCGAGTAGCTTTGCACGAAATTGAAACCAAACTAAAAAGTAGGGGCGTTATCATGTAACGATCAATCCCACTATACAATTATATTAACCCAAAAGTTGGCGGTGGGTGGAATTAGCTAGATGCTTTCCCTCTAGTGTATCACTTTTAAATTCAAGATGGCTAGCGAAAATATCAATGTAATAGCCTTGCGCAAAATTCGACAAACAAATGGTTTGAACATTTTAATAAATAACCAAGGGCAGTTTTGGAAAAGTGCAGAAATATATCTAAACAAATGAACACCGCTAACACACAAAAAAATACAAAGAAATGTATACCACTCGGAAACAATGACAATAAACAAAACTGTGTGTATAAACAAGGCAGGTTAAAGTTCGTTTTTTATAGCAAGAATAGAACTATAAAATGCTGCCACAGCGTGATAATGTATGAATATACAAAGAAGTGGCTATAATCACTTCCTGGTGAAGAGCATTTGGTCAAATTATGGACCACAGCGATTTTACCCATTTCTTTTCATATTTAGTTACTTACTGTGTTGCGAATTTATTCATCAAGTGTTTTATATAAAAAAACGCATACAGTAGCGTGTGATACATTAAAATGAAGTACACGTAAAAAAAACACGAGGTACTCGAATTGGAGTGGCTCAAATTACGAGAACAGCGAGTACAGGCTGCATGTTTATTCGTTTCCATCTGTGTACAGCTATTAGTAAGTTTATACATAGTTCGTGTTCTGTGTAGAAGTATCCTGTGAATGGGCATGTTTGGAATCATAGGGCATTACAGTATTTCGTTGAATATGAGCAAGATTAGGGTTATGAAACTTTTCACAAGAACTGCCATTCACATGCCCAGGAAATAAAGTTTTTGGAATCTTATAATTAAATACAAAACAACAGACTTTGGCTCAAGAGCGTAAATCACTTCGATCAAATGCAGTTCCAATTTCTTCATATTTTGTAGTTTATTAATGAAATTGCCCCTATCCCTGACTTTTGATTGCAGTTAGAATCTTTAAACACATCGATTAGTAGTGGACCATGCATTTTCTATAACTTGTTGTATTTAGGCCTGCAGAGTTTTATATATATTGTTGAATAGCTGATCTGAGCCTCGGTTCATGGTTTGAATGTACCATTACTTAATCTGAAAATCGGAGGTAAAGTGTCATAGGCTGATCAGAAAATAGCCTTTCCATGTCTGAAACAAGAGGGAATCCTCGATAGCCGCGGCTGTAATTAGATCTCAAATATGTCAACAGATGAAGCTATGAGCTGAAAAACAAGAGGGAATCCTGAATAGCCGCAGCACCTAATCAATATTAGACCTCCTGAATCTGAAACTGTAATTAGATCTCAAATCGGTCAAGATATGACGGAGCTATGAGCTAATAGTTTGTACTTGAAAAAACAAAAACAAAAAAACTCAGAACCATTCTATGAGCCGCTATGCCGCGACTAAAAATACCATTAGTTGGACTTGTGAATCAAAAGTAGTCTGAAAGTACCATTAGCTATTCTAAAGATCTCGGTCGGAAAGTTCCATGAACTCTTTATAAAGTATGAGTATGTAATATGAAATATTATTAGCTCATTTAAAATATCAGTAAACGGTGCATAAGTATAATTAGTTGATCTTAAAAACTATATCAGCAAATTTTAAATGTTCAATACATGATCAGAAAGTAACATAAGCTATGTTTGAAATACAGTTATTTGATTTAAACTTACCATTAGATAATTGAAAATACCGTCTGGCATAAGTATAATACAGTTAACTGATTCAAAATGTTATTACTTGATATAAAAGTATCCTTACCAAATATTAAAACACCACATGATACTAAGACACTGAGTAAAAACATCACAAAATAACAAACCGATAACCCGAGCATCTTAAAAAGATATATCTTCCTTTTTCAGGTGCATATCGCCACGTGTGGATAAGAGTCCCTTACTTGTAACATACTTCTGTATGAAATACATGAATCTGACGAAAGCGCTATGAAATATGTACGAAAGACATGAATTAAATCTGACGAAAGCGCTGTAGGATTTGATATGGTATGTTTTGGCATGGTGGTTAATCACCAAACACTCGCTCTTTTTTCCTTGAAAGTGTTCGTGAGTCAGTACTATACTTCTAGCGTTATATTTGACACATTGTGCGTGCATGGACTTATGTAGCTCCTAAAGGCGGTAGTGAAATTATCTTCAAAGAATTAGTGGCACTTACCTTTACCAGTGACTGGTCTTAAATTGTATGGAGGATTAAGATGCCCCCTCCCCCCCACGAAATAGGTCAGCGTTAAGCTTGAGGTTTTATAACGGTAAAAATCGAGGTTATATGCCTGCTACAGACACCGCACAGATGGCGCATT